CCTATTTCTGTTGGAAATACCTCATTTGACACACCCTAATAATAGTATGTTATTCTGGTTTTTAGCCTTTAGCTGATTAGTATAACCTTTCCAAAAAAGACAAGATTTCTTTAGAGATTACTGGTTCCTATTAGAGAGCTGCATTTCTGCATGCATGAACCTAAATTCCTCATGTCTATGGTTCATCTCAGTAATGATCCAAATTTTTAGTCCAGTTAAATTAATTCTTCTAGTAATGTATTTCATACTCTTAGACCCTAGGGGTATTATGTTTATTTTCTCCTTTTTGTAAGTTTTACGAGAATCTGTAAGTCAGGTTCCTCAAATTTATGTTTGCTTGTTTAGATTTGCTTTCAAAACCATATTTTATTCTTTTTCTCCTGTTACTGCAGTTCTGGCTGAGGCCAGCTGCTTTACCTGTCATCGCTCCTCTCTTTTTACCTACCTTCTGCAGAGTTAATCTCAGTCTTCACAGGTTTGGAAGTAGTGAACTAACTGCTGCTAGAGATCCAGCGTGAAGAGGATAAAGTCTGAATGTGTCTGTTCTTTTACAGGCGTGACAGTATAATTTTGTAAATAGCAAGCATTATTTATCATTACTTTGCTAGAAAAGTACAGCTTTTTTTTTTTTTTTTGTCTTGCACTAATTTTTTAGTAATTTCACTTGCTTAACTATTAAAGACTGTGTTTTCCTTTTTTCATAGAGAAACTCATTGGCGTTCACTGTACTAATGGAATTAATAGAACTGGCTACCTTATATGTAGGTAAGGCTTGTATAAAACCAGAAATCATTGTTCAAAAAAGATAGTGTCCTTATATTAATTTGTAATCCCTTTGGGACAATAATCTAATCCTATTTTTCTTTAGATATCTTATAGATGTTGAAGGCTGGGATCCAGAGGCAGCAATTCAAGGTATTTATACAGTTTGAACTAAGGCACGTGTTGGGCTGTAATTCACCATTACTACAATTGTATTCACAAATACTACAATTCTATTTTAGTATCCTTAGAGATATTTCATGTGCTGGCTTCCATAGAAGATTTTCTCTAACTGTTGATTCTATTCCAGGCAAGACTTGAGCATTAGCAAATTGACAGCATAGTAGGAGTACATTTCAGCTGCTTAAAATTTTTTTCCTTTCATTTTGAAGGGTTTTCAGTCAGAGATTGCTACCACTACTAGTTTCAGTTGTTTAAAAAAAAAAAAACAACAAAAAAACCCAAACTAAAACCCTGCCATATTGCCAGCTTGCTGAAGTATTTAATATCAAGTTAGAACTGTTTCAAATTCAGCATCTCACGGTGAACAGAAACTTGCCTTTCACATTTCTGTGGCTCAGTTGGAGCACATTTCATTAGACTTGTATCTTTTTTTCTTTAGCTTTTGGTGATGCTAGAGGTCATTGCATGGACGGTCTTGTGTATCTTACGGATCTCAGAACACAACCAATGAGAAGGTAAACAAGGGCTTTTATTTGTATAGTTAAGATTTTCCAGTATGTGAACTGGTATTTTGAAAACTTCGCTTCCACTCCTAAGCCAAAATTACCACCCTCTTAAACCTTTGATACGTGACTACACATATATTGTAAGACTTATGATATGAAGAACATGAAGTGCAGTGTACTTCCTTCATTCCTTTTTTGAATTTATATGGTTCAAAAGATTTTTTTTTTTTAATCTGACAACTACTGTTGAACATCGGTGTGGTTTTATCATACTGTCACAAGTGTATTGAGTCTATATTCTCTCAAGATAAGCTGAAAGAAGCCACTGCAAAGATTTCCTTATAAGCTGTATGATCTGCCTGCTGTTGTTGGCATGGTAGAACCAGATACTTTAAAAAAAAAAAACAACTTACAACAGTTTTAGGAATGAAAAGTGTGGGAAAGTGGAAGATTGTTCTCAACTCTTCTGTTCATAATGGTTGTATTGCTGGGGTGTAAGAATTTTATGCTTATCCTTTTCCCCTAAGAATAGCTAACCTTTACGTATTCCTAAATTATTTGTGCTAATGATATCTTGTAGCAGTAAGTTGATTTTAAAATAATACCTGACTGATTTGCACCTTTTTAGTTTAATTGAATGCCCTTTGTTTTACTTCTATCATTGTTTTATAGTCTATGCATGATTTAGTCCTGTGTCAGATTTTTAAATAGGTATGGTGCTTGTCTCACATCCTTTAGGATGTTGTTCCAAGCTTAGGAAGTTTAGGTATTCTCTTTGCTTTCCCTGCAGCCCTTCCTCAAATAAATTTACAAGATTAAAATTTCTTAAGTTATAAATGTCTGTAAATCTAACCTAACATACAAAAATTTCTGTCATTCTAAACTGAAGAATTTTATGTGGGGTTTTTCCTGTCTCAACGGTATGTTTTAAAAAAGTAAGTTTATGTGAGATATTTTTATTCTTCTTAGTAACCTTGGAATGGATGTATGGGATTCAAATGAAGATATTCTTCCCCCGCCACACGGAATGGAAGGACCTGTAGAGGGGTTCCCAAATGAAGATTTTCAGGGGTAATAGGCTCAAACATGGAATTAAAAGCCAAAAAAACCACACAGTGGAAAAGATAATTGTTTCTTATTAAAAATACTATAGATACTCTAATTTAAAAGAGATTTAATGAATGTAGCCTACTCATGCAAAATATAGTTATAGAATTTGATGAAACAGTGAAAAATAAGGGAAAGAAAGGGAATATGTGCTATTAGAAGTCCATAAGTAATTAGTTCACTTGGAAAGATTTGGAGTTTTACTTTGGCTGTGCTGTTTATGATTCTACAGTAATCTGCAATTATTTTTAATTAAGTCACTGGTTTTGCCTGTTTAACAAGTGCTATAGAATTACAAATGAATGTTTGTCACAGCTTCTACTATGACACTGAAAGTTTTATAATCTTACTTACAGTTTGGATTCTTAGTAGCTTTGATACCTATGTATTTGCAATGTCTTTCATATCAATTCTTAGTTTAAAAATCTTGTTTTCATTAATGATTTGTAACGCTTATAAGAATGACGTTTATTTAAAACAAAAATTTCTTTACAGGTCTGGGAAAAGATTAAGAATTTATGATAACCACTCTCACAATGATTTGCAAGGAGACATACAGTTGAGAGATTTTGATTTCATTAATAAGGGACCTGGACAAAGACGAAGACCATTTCATGACCATCAGGCTCAGGATGATTTAAGAGCACCAATGCAGATAAGAAATTGGGACTACAACAGGGGACCAGGACAGAGGCGAAGACCCTTTCCTGATCACCAGTGTTACGATGATTATCAAGAAGACCTGCAGCTGAAGGACCTAGACTTCAGTAACAAGGGACCTGGACAAAGGTTGAGACCTTTTCATGGACACCAGTTTCATGATGATGTACAGGCAGAGAGACAGTCGGGGGACGTTGAATTTAACAGAGGCCGTGGACAAAGGCAGAGATCGTTTCCTGACCATCCATCTCACAGTGATTTGCAGGAAGACAGGCGGTCAAAGGATTATGATTTTGGTAGCAGGGGCCGTGGCCAGAGACGAAGACCGTTCCATGACCACCAATCTCACAATGAATTTCAGACTCAGATGCAGTTGAAAGAGTTAGAGTGTGTCAGCAAAGGTCCTGGACAAAGACTGAGATCTTTCCATGACTATCAGTCACATGATGACTTGCAGCCACAGATGCAATTGGGAGATTTTGAATTTGTTAACAGGGGTCGTGGGCAGAGGTTGAGACCTTTCAATGATCACCAGCCTCCCAATGACTTACAAACAGAAATGAAACTAAAAGATTATGATAATAAAGGTCCCGGACAAAGGCGTAGACCTTTTCATGACCATCAGCCTTATGACGACTTACAGGAACAGACTCAGTTAAAAGATTTTGATTATGTTAATAAAGGGCATGGACAAAGGCCAAAACCTTTTCATGATCGTCCAGGTCACGATGACTTGCCACATGAATGGTGTTCAGACAGGTAAAGCATCCTTGAGCTATAAGACCAGAATTAGAGAATAAAAGTCTAAACCTCACCACTTTTAAATTAAATTTCAAATTAATTATTTTTTAAAATAA